GGCTGATTATGTAGAGAATGCGGAGCACTGGAACTGAATTCTGAACAAAGTTAGCAATAACTGGCCTGTATATTTAATAATATAATCAGTTACCTTTGACTAAATTTTTCCTTTTTTTTTTCAGTTTGTCTTAAAACATTAGAGTCAGCACTCAGATTAGCTGCACTGCTAATAAAGCTAGAGGTAATCACTGAAGTCAAATGTAGCAGATTGATATGTACCATATCACGGCTGGGGCTCATCATCATTAGCACATAACTACAAGGTCTACATGAGGAAACATATTTTGACTGTTTAAGATTTGTCCTTAGGTAGTATAAATATATTATAGAACATCCCACAGTCCAAAAGAAACATCTTGGCTGCATCCTACACTGTCAAGTCATATATACTGAAACCAAAATCTAAAACCTACGAACAGACCCACAGTTTGCGTTGACAATATTTTAGGTAGTCAGATAAGCATGTGCTACAGGACCATCACCACCAGCTCAAGAAAGCTAGAGCATCTAATTTGAAAGACAAAAAAGCATATGACGTTTTTTATGTCATGACAATTGTTTTGCCATTATGGATTTTTTCTTCAACATTTCCAAAAGAAAATAACTAAAAACAAACAAACAAAAAAAAAAACAAACAAACAAGACAACATTATACCAAAGCCAAATAAATATCCACAAAAGGCTTTCAACACCATCTAGCTGAGTGCAACCAAACAACGTGCCTCTGTAAGTGCAGCATGTCAAGATGAAAATAATTCGCCTGCACGTCTGCACATTCCAGACGAGAAGCAATGCCTCAAGAGTACTGGCACATGTAATTTGAAAAACAACCTGATGAAAACGAGGCAATATTTAAAAAAATAGCATTTTGTAGCAATGCAGAGAGGCCTGCCAGGATAGAAACAGGTGCAGTGCTCCTCTATAGTACTAACGTAGAACTGAGTGGGATTGTATGGTCTTTAGCGCGTCATACGTTTACTTTTCCTCATTTGAATTCTTGGATATTTAAAACGTGATTCACATGTTCTGGAATTACTAAAAGGATGCAGAAATGATGCCATATAACCTGGCCTTCTCACAGTATAGAAGATCGGACATGATGGGATTTTGGTTTGAAGTAGAAGAACTTGATGCCTACACAGTGCAGGAGTGTCTTGAGGCGCTGTGTATATTTACCCTCATAGGAAAGCAGACTGCGACATTGGTAAAAGAAACACGGATAAAGGAACGGGGTGCGGTTATATGTGGGGAAGCATGACAGTCGGGAGATCAAAACCAAAGGCTTGACAGAGAAAAGAAATTCAGAACAAGGCACAGAAGTTTCTGCAAATGGTCAGAACTGAAGGGAAAAAAAAAAAAATAGTACCAGCAGTTTGGGAGGTGTTCAATGGTGAAGCTTTCTATAGTGATACATGGTAACATCTGGCAACCACAGCCCTTCCCTTCCCATCCCTCCACCCCCCTGACTACCAACCCTTTATCCCCACCAGCTCCAACTCCTCAAAGACAATGGCTAAATCATCTCAGGTGTCCATGTAGTCTACATCATTCAATCCCCAGGAAGAACAACAAAAAAACAACAAAACATTCCCCGTTCTTAACCCCTCCATGCCCCTCCCATCCCAACCATCCAAAAAACAAAACAAAATAATAATAATAATATTAATAACACCACCAGAGATTTGTACAATCAGATATAGTATTCCTTCTTTTCATCGGAGTTGTTATGTCCACCTTCAGCGTTGATGATGGCCGTGTCGGCATCAGCTGCATCGTCTGCCCCTTTTGCTTCATGTGTGAAGTAGGTACCTGTAGGAAGTTTCAAAGAAAGGTGTGATGATAAAAGTCATATTCTCTGCGCACCCTACGGCATCTGACTGATGCAACCGGTGGATCTTAAAAGACTGTCTGGAGTGGCTTCTTTAATTTACAGCGAGTGTCGATCACACAGACTTTAAAATGCCTGCAAGTAAGGTGTGTGCAGCGCTGCAGGCTGTACCACTATGCTGCTTTTTATATGCAAACGTAGCAGGCGCCTCAAACCAATTTCAGATGATAAAACATGGGAGACAGTTTGATTACAGAATACATTTCCGCAGCTCTCATTTGCAATGGCAAATGAGCACCATTAAAACCAGCAAATCACTGCAAAACGGGCATGGCACATGTTTTTGAAGAACAAGCCTGTTGATCGTTTTGTTCAAAGTCACCATTAATTTATGAAAATATATTCTTCAATTTCCATGAAAAACCTCTCCAAATCAGAGACGCTGGTGTTTTCCATTCGCGTCGACTTGCGCTTCAGGATTAACCTTCAAAATGTAACAAGGTGGTGGGAATAACAACGCCACTTCAAACTTCATTTCCGAGTGGTATTATCCCTGTCCCTACAGTCGACTGCTTGATAATGAAAGCAGTAGCCTCAATGAAAACTGGACTCTCTTCATAATAAAAACACAGAACTACACTGAGCCCAGAGGGATGCCAATCTTACCCACGCACCAGCCACAAAGAATCGTAGCATTTCCACAGCAAGTCACCGCATCTCTGCAAGGAGTCCTTCCGACCAAAAATCATGGCCTAAATAATTACTAGGTCTCTTGACATCATCTTAGAAAGAGTGTGCAATTTGTGTTGAAATGAGCTGCCTACATACCTTTGTGTCTTGCGAAGTATCGGCCCAAAATGATAAGAAGACAAAGCATGGCGAAGACCACGACGGCCACCACCCCTCCGATGACGGCATGATCCACCACTCTTTGAGCTCCTGCTCCTGCTCTGGAGTCTACTGGGACAAAAACACAAAGTGGACACCTTAAAAAGAACCGATAAAACACTATCGCAGAAGTCTTATAAAAGGCAAATTGCAGGGTTCTGAAGATTCTCAAAGGGTTGCATTCCTTAGAGTGTGTCTTAAAAAGCAATTTACAAGTGTCATAAACAATTTACAATCTGACAAAACAGCAAGCATGTTCTTTTTTTTTTCTTTCTAAAGAGGCCGGGACAATCTTAAAACTTACTGGCAAAGGGCATTGGGGTTAAAAAAAGTCCTCTTTTTAATGGAAGTGACAACTGCTTTTTATATGTTTATTTATTGACTTTTTTTTATTGACAGAGGTTTAAAAAAAAGTGCAGTTTTTGTGATGGCCACTTCCATTATAAAGATTGTTTAATGGACCTCTGAGTCTTCAAGCACCCTAGCACACAGACAGTTAGGAAAATGGAAAATGTTAGTACATTAAACATACAATCACATACAAAGTAGTTAATTAGCGTTTTTTATAGAATGTTATGTAATTAGCCATTTTTTTATTACCACAGCTCAGCTCCTAAGAAGTTTTGTGGACTAATTAGCTAAACCCTCTGCTTAAGTGAGCAAACAAACCACCAGGGCTCTTGGCAAAGAAAGTATTGAGGAAAAAAAGAAAAGCAGATAACAGGGCAGCAATTCTCCTAAAAGAGGTTTTGACTTTAAAGGTCCAAGTCCTCACATCAGTAGCATAAAAGCTCAGTACTACACCTTAAACGAATCTGGCACTGAAATACACTTTGCCCTCGAGACTAAAAATGTGAATCACAGGCAATTTTTAAGAAAGATTTCTACTACTTCAGGCCGAGAACAAGGCAGGCGCCTCAGACGCAGCCTGCTATAATGATATGTGAAGTTTATTGATCAAGTGTAGGGATCCATGACAACCCAAAGTTAATGCTGGTTTGTGGACTTGATTGGTTCTTTCACGGTGAGAAGGAGGCTAAAAATTTTTCATCAATATTTCACACTCAGCTCGGAAATTAAAGAGTTTGGTGGGAGATGGGAAAGGAAAATGGGTTGGAGCCTGCACTCTGTCAGGAGTCAACATCATCTTCAGCTGAAATCCAAGACAGTTCAAGCTCACTATCACAGTACAACTGAACTCCTCATTGGTAAAAACAAAGGATTGAAAATCATGAATCTTAAGACAGACACATCCTCTGGTGCATTTCAAAGTCTATATTTACTGTTCTGTAACGCCTGGCCAAAAATTCATCCCCTGACTTGATTGAAAAGGACAGCGAGGAAAAGGAAGAGAGGCGAGGATTGCTGGAGCGGCCGAGCAATCCAGCGCTTGGTAATCCAGTCACGAGGAGTTGATCAGCCCTATGTGTTTACTCATGGCAATCTCCCACACTCATCTCTGGTCTAAATCTGAGGGCTGCTGGATTTCCTGGGGGAGTTCAAAAACAAAAACCGACAGGCCACAACTTATTAGAGGATAACAAAAACCGTGAAAACACACATCGGTGTGCTTGTACAACATCCCACCCAATCTCACCTTATAAACAACTTGTGTGTGAGACTGGGAGCAGGGGGAAATAATACCACAGTGGTAGGTGCCAAAAACAACCAAAAATTACTTGATAATCCTGATAGCATTTTCTAAAGACTTTTTCCCCCCATGCAGACAGCAGATTCAATTAAAGTCAGTAGGAATCTGCCTGACACCCAATTCACTCTAGTCAATGAGGAGGTAAAGACATGGTTTAACACACTTTCTTATTAAGATGTTAATGTGAACCAGGCTGCCTCAGCAGCAGCCCAGAAGGGGTATGGAGGGATAAACATGCTATAGAGTCACTATATTTCTAGCTTGTCTGCCACCTAGACAGGAGGCAATTCTTGACCTAATATGAATGTACTTAGTCAGATAAGGGTTAGTTACAGCAATGACAAGTGCATAATTGTAGTAACTAGGCAGCACGTCAAAGCAGGTTTTCAGAGCATTTGGAGCCTGGCACATCTAATCTCATGCTCATGCAACCAATTGTTGTTCTTCTTTTGGCTGTTCCTGTTAGGGGTTGCCACAGCGGATCAACGGTCTGCATATTTGATTTGGCACAGTTTTTATGCCGGATGCCCTTCCTGATGCAACCCTCCCCAATTTTATCCGGGCTTGGGACTGGGCTTGGGACTGGCACTGGAAGTGCACTGTCGTGTGCATCCCCAGTGGGTGGGGTCGGTTCCCTGGCCAGGAATCGAACCCGGGCCGCAGTGGTGAGAGGTTACGCCATGGCCTAGCAACTAGTCCTCCAGGGACCAGATTGGAATACGTCGATTAATTTTCAAAAACAGCAGCTCAGACCAGTTCTAGCTGCAAGGTCCATATTAACCTATAAATATTTTCTAATATGTTATCTTTTCTATAGTAGCAACTAGCACAGGTACTTTTATGCTGGACGCTGCACATAAACAGATTAAGAAACATATAATCGTTGATATGATGACATTGCGAGGAGATGTTTATTTAGCATTTTGGAAGGAGTTATCAAGAGTTATCAGGAAGGAGATTTGTAACAGTTAGATATAAAGCTATTAAACTATAGTGAAACGTAACTATAAATGGATTAAAAGTACAGTTGTCATTCTTTAATTAAAAAGGTTGTTTATTGATTATTTTCCTATAACAGCATGTCTGGTTGTGTTTTATTCCTTACATATTATACTCGAAATATGATCTGATCACGATAAGAGTTGTCAGTGTTCAGATGAGTTTAGCGCTATCATTCTGCCTTAGTATACAGGACAGATGAAAGTGTTAAGCATGTCATCATTCATTTGATATATTGCCAGTCTGACCACTGGCTCTCCTAAACTAGAGATTGAGTGAATTTGATAGAAATTAACATAACAATTAACATAGAGTAAAAGTAGTGGACCTATCTGTCCTATCCCATCCAACTTTTAAAGATTTTACATCATCCATACACCCGCCTCCCCCTCTCCACTTCTCTGCACTGTCGGAAGATAAATGAAGGGGTGTGCAGAGAGCAGCCACAACAATGAAGGAGAAGACTGAAGCTTGTGCTCTTGCTGCATGTGGCAGTACATAGGTATCCAAAGCCACTCTTAACACACTGAAGGAATTCTAATTCAATAAGGGTCCACTGTGAGCCACCCAGTTTGGGTAATGTGTAATTTGAGAGGCAGATGGTTTAGAAGTGAATAATTCTCAAACAACCACGTCTAATCTCATCTAGACAGTTTGCCTCCAGAATATTCAATAATTATGAGAAATTGGCATCTTAATGAAACCCCTGAAACCCGCTCTCATCTCAATTGAGTACAATAGATAAGATAATCAAATGCATTGCATGCTGCTTATTGGTGAATGATTACCACAAACAGTACTCGTGTTTAACATTTAGAACTGTAATGAAAGGGACTAGAAAACCTGTGGGGTTAGAAGAGAGTGTAATTGAAGGTAGAGCATGGTTCTCTTCTTCATTTGTAATGTTGTATGTAGGCAGTGACTGTGGAGTTAGCTACTTGGAAAGGTTGATGCTTTCTCTTACAACAACAAATTTGAAGTTACATTTATTACTGTAAAGGCAACTATTAAGCGAAGACCATTACTGCGTACTGACACCCTACCTCAGTTTAATCATCTCAGATAACTGGCAAAGGATCATTGTTGAAATAGAAAATAAAGTAATTCCCTTTCCTGCACACCAACGATAATTTCAAATGAACACTTGGTTTCAAGTTGCAGTGTGGACAGACTACAAAGGTATAGCATAGCATAGCTTTATCCAGTTTGTGGACAGACAACATATTCAGGACAAACAGGTTTGTTATGGACTCCTGGCGGCTGCACCAAAGGCTGCTGGCTGGACTCTAGAGGAACATGAGAGACAACCTCTGTATATGAGGTTGAGGCACGACCAAATGGAAATCTTCAGCCAAGCTCATTTCTGGCCTGGACTAGCTTATAGGCAAGAGCTGGATAAAAGGACTGTGGAAAACCAAGTAGAATTGTGTACCACCAGACACAGGATCTGCACCGAACCCAAATACTGTGTATGTACCTAAAACCAAGGGGTAAAGAGCAAACCATGATTTAAAATGCACTGGCATAGGTATTTATGTTATACCTCTGAACCTGACTGCTCTCTGCCATATGGTTTTCTAAATGTGCCTGCACAAGTTCACTGCATTAGCTTTTAGATTGAGTGGAAAATATGATTAGTATCAATTTCAGCAGCTTAGCAAGCGGATTTAATTTTAGCTCACATACATGGTAAATTCAAAAGAATATCAAAACCATACTGTGGCATCACACCAGTTGCAAAGCTTCCACCCACTGGGAGGATGATATGAAACAAGAGTGAGGTAATGGACAGAACTATCGGCCACACAAACTCCCCACAAATCCCATGTCGCAGCAGCACAAAGGGAAGAGGAATCCTGAGGCTGACATTTAATTCCGGTGTTCAAAGTCCAAATGAAGACAACCAGTAGATGGAAAGCTAGAGAGTAAACAAACAAAGCTAGGTATAATGCCAGGACCAGTGAAGTACCAGTGCAAAAGCAATCTGGCCTGAATCAGAAGAGCACACTCTCCGCTCAGAGGGTCTCAGAAGAGGTCTCAGGGGGTTTCCATGCTGGTTCGCTTTGAAACTGGCTTCTCATGATGGAGTTCATGTCTACTGGTTAGGAGTCACCTGAGACAATAAAGTTGATTTGTAGTTGGAGAATTGACCACCGAAGGTCATCAAATAAATGCGGCACTGTTTTCCTGAAGCACATCTTCAAACTTGCAGAGGAAACAAAAGGTGTGACCTTGTCTATCATCAAGTACACTCTATTATAGTCTTTAGAACATGGTGCATGGTGGACAAAGAGATAAAGCAAGCCAAACTATCATGTATTGATCCACGTATTCTCTTCCTTTATCATGATCCTATAGCATAACCCCAACATGTATTGTCTTTACCTCTTCACTTTCACTTCTGAATGTCTTTGACATAAGATAAAAATGACAATTCAAACAATATTAATCGATAACAAAAAAAGACATTGCAAGTTGACAGTAAGATCTGTGACCACTACCAAAGTTCACGGTGTTGTCAAATTCAGATATATGATCTATGGAGCACTCTGTGATCTTTCCCAGCCTTTCAGTGCAAAATGCAGAGAAGAAAGGTACTGATATGTGTTCCTACATGAGCAAAGCCTGTAGCTACATTTGTTCTTGCTCTCGTAGGTAATTACTTAACTTCCAGCGGCTAAGACAGCCGTTGTTTTATCAGCATGGATTCGGGCAATTGTGGGCCAATTCTAATAACTTTCTCAAATGAAATTCAAGAAGCAATAGATATTATCCTCCAGTGAACAATTAGACTGGCCTTTGCTAAACCTATTATAGTAGTTTACAGTTTGTGTCTAAAGGTAATACATTCTCGCTCCGTTTTATGCAGTTTTGTTATAAATGCACCAGCCAGTGCTAATGCATTCTGGCCAAGGCAGGCAATTTAAAAGAACATTAGTGACTGCGTTTTGTACATTAGGGTATTCTTCAGTTTAAGCCCCAAAATATTATGGATACTTTGAAGGGTTTGAGAGTTATATCTAGCGTGATACCTGACAAAAATAACCAGGAAAATTGGTATTTAAAACAACCAGCCTTAGGCCTTGTTTCTTAAAACCTTGTTTTCTTTAAGAGACTGTGTTTTAAGAAGTGAATTCAGAATTTACATTTAAAACATCATTCCTTACACAAACTGATTTGGTTCTGATTATACAGCTCAATTTCATAAGAAAAGCATTTACTCTTCTACTGTTAATATCGCATAGAAGTCTACAGCCAGTGATTTGCCAGGTTCTCCTGAAATGGCATTAAGCTAAATGAATTTGATCTGTGGTATTAAATGAACACATACCCCACATCAAAACTCATTTGGTGGACACCTGAAAGAATGACACCAGAAGCAAATGCAGCATCCAGTACTTGATAAGCTTATGCTGCTTGATAAGATGCAAAAATGGATACAGATCTAAAAGATTGCCTTCCCTTAGCCATCATCTTTTGACTTTCGGAAAAACAAAAAGAATTGCTGTGACTTTTCTGAATGGTTTTGTTCCTGGATGTTCCTGTCCTTTTTCTATGACAGAAAGAAATGGCAAGTCTCAGTGTGAAGTAAGGCCACACTGCAGTCTATTGCATATTACTTATACCTTGGTTTAAAATGTACTGTTATTACACTAAGTGATGAGTAACATAAAAGAGGCTTGTAAAAGGAGCATTAAGAAAAGCGCATAAGCATGGCTGATACTATACTTTGTGGTAAATGGCTTTCCAGTACCGGCTATGTAAATGTGCTTTCCATTTCTCCTAAGAAACCCAAATCTCTGCTGAAGGACGACCTGGCCAGTGTGCCCACAGGCTAGCAGAAACCCATTGCACTCGCTCAGGCACAATCAAATTGACAAGAAGGAAATGGCGACCCTCAGGGCAACAAAAGTGTCTCATTTCAAAGGATGTGTTGATCTCTGAGACAGGAGATCTTCTAATTGGATCCTCTAATCTTCTAATTAAGCAATAGCGATTGCCGTTGTGAGTGTGTGAGCAGACTGTAATGAAAGAGCTCTGCTCTTGGGCCTATGGGCAGATGGATGACAGATGTGTTATTACAAAGCCTGTCTGCATTTACCTGTGTCCCTCCAGCCCAGAAGCAGTCCTGTGCCTTTGTGAAAATGTAATTAAAAATCTCATTGACCCAATCTTTTCCTGTCACTTAAAAGAGAGGTTTGTGTATAATGTTTTATCCCACTCTACCGACCAAAAGGTATGCAGTGGTTTTTCATTGTAAATTTAGATTTGAATGGATTTCACACCGATATATTTCATTGAAATTGGAAGTCATGTGTAGTTGAGGGAAATGGATTTGAGTATAAAGCAGTATGCCATTCTCTAAGTAGCCTAGTTTATAGTTATTGCAGGCTGCAGCAATCTGTAGCTCCATTTAGCAATTTACCATTATTCAGCGAAGACTATAACATAAGGCAATCATTGTAGCAGGCAAGCAACATTAAATCTGGAGAACCTTTGGGTAGTCCTCATGGCATTACATCTGTCCAAACATGCCATGTGATCTGAATGCAAATGAAAATAACAACAGGCTCCCACCAGGACAGCATATTAAGGACAAGGGTCCCCATCTCACTTTTTTGTTGTTCAGGCAAATTGTGATAATTAGTGATTACATTACAGCATGGCCCATTGTCAATGACAAACCCTGACCAGATTCAATTCAATT